TACATGAAGTCCCTTGTTTCGATCATGTAAGACAAATGTTCATTCTGATGTCAGTAAATATGTAGGAAATAAGTGAATAGCCAACTCTAGCTGAATCAATCCCTTGACTAGGAACATCTATGGAAAATATTTTAAAGGCTCTTGACAATTCACATAGGTATTCAGTTCTTATTTTATACGAGAAACAGAAGTCCTCTTAAATACTCCAACCCTGCTTCTACCTATCAACTTAAAAGAAGCTGGCGAATTAACCTGTCTTTTAACACCAATATTAATACAAAAATTCTTCATCAATTAGAGCCATAATACAGATGACTCTCCAGAAAACGATGCGCGTGAGCTAAGACAGCAGTTATCTTGGTAACACCAAAACAGCTACAGATGAAAGGAGACAAAAAATAAGACAGCAGGAAAAGAAGTATCTCTGTAGTTTGATAAAAACATCGATATGGAGAAATGTGCAGCCAGACTGACCTGTGGTTGGTTGGGGCAAGTAGCAGTTCTTTACTTGACTACTCAGCCAGTCGCCTGCCTGTCATTCACTCCAAAGGCTTGAGGGCAGATAACGGGCAGGAGAATCGAACCCCTGCAAGAAATGTCTCGCCTTTCAGGAGTACACTGTGTAAATTCAACTACAGTTTAAACTTCTTGGTAGTAATATGTATTAAATTCCAGTGCATAAACTAACATCTGAAACATACTAAATCTCATTCCCTTTCTATTCCTCATAACATTTTCTTTTTAGAAGACATTTAGAAAAATTCCAGTAAATACCAGCTGATAGCATATATTCCATAAAACTGGCAAGAGAGTTCAAATACAACAGATCCTTTCAGCAATGTAGGATGCAAGTTCTTCATACAAGTGTTAGTACTGTATGGCCTTTCTTTCAAAATAGTCCAATTCCCTACGCAACTTGCCCGTACCAGGAAGAACTGGTGGTCACTGTTTCAGATGCCAACTCTAGAACAAGTACATGGGTGGCAGGTGTCCTTGCAATGTTTTGTTGGCATATTCCTCCCTGGAGTCAGTCCCACTCTAAGTCTGAGAGGTACCATTGCTTCCTTGGCCCAGCAATGCTACTACTAGAAAATAATTGTCAACAAACTTATGGGCAAAGTCACTACATCTGCAGGAGGCAAGATTATTTATGGGGTACTTTGGATTACAGAAGCTGTTCAGAGGACCACTTCAGGGAATGAAATGTTCGTGGCAGCTTCTAAGCTAGTGCTGGTGACGGCATCTGTATGCTCACTGAACTTCACCAAGACTATAAACAGAGGGAACAGCAACGAGCAGATTTCAGAAACACTGTCTCATATGGCTGGTTGCATCGCAAGATAAGCATTACATAGGTGTTTCAAGATGGCAGTTGTGTTCCAAGCTGAACTGGTCCACTTCTGAAAACACAAACCCAATTATTCATCTGTATGGCCTTAGAATTGTTGGAAGAAATTAAACTCATTTCTGAGTCAAGTAAGGACTGACCAACAGGAAGAGGCCCTTGTCTAGTCAAAAACACAAAAGGAAGATGTCTGCATTTGGATTTCAGTTAAGCTACAGCATTTTTAAACCATGCTTTTCTGTGCTTATCATACTTCCCCAGGGAAGGATAATGAGTCCACAGGGACAAGAAATAAGAACCCTGCAATGAGGTCAAACTGAAAAAAAGTTAACATACAAAAATTTCCTTCTGACAGAGCAAGCAACCAAGCATACAAAGATGTGCTTCCTAAATTTTCAGAAGTCAGAACTGGGAAGAAATGGTACAGAAAATATCCTCCATTTCCTAGCCTTTCACCAACAGTGCAAAGATGTGAACACAGGAGTAAAACCTTCTCACTGTTACAGTTCTTCTAGAGCATGTAACTCACATTGATGTGGAAAACAAAGGTCATGAGAAACATATTTGGCATTCATATATGACTGCGTATCCAAAATAACTCTTTTCTTGGGATGTCAGCCTAGCTTCTCCTTGCCTTACTTGTCTCAGCAGATTTAAGAGAACACTCTCAGATGAAAAAAACGATAACAGGCTACACAGAAATAAAGAACAACTAAGGAAGTAATTAAAGGCTACCCTATTTGTTGTGAGACACAAGTCAAAGTATTACAAAATACAGTGTCTTAGAAGTAACGTCTCTGACTTGCAGCAACTTCAGAATGATCTGAGCTACAGCGATCAGAAGTTCAGAAGTTAGCTTTGCTCATTAAAAAGCAGATGAGCAAATCTTTAATCTCTGTTTTGCCTGAGAGTTAAAGACAGGAGTGCTGATACCAATACAGCAGTAAAGTACATACACAACAGTTAAGTTACTACTCTCATTGCCCAGGAATTACATGACAAAGACACCGTGGGACTGTTTGAGCTCTTTAGGTCAGGTTGAGCTTCACTAGATTCTCGATGATATGAAAGGACAAACAGAACATGGTGA